GATTCCGGCGACTCCCACGGCAACGAGGATGGAGAAGAAGAAATCCCGTCCGAGCAGGACCCAACATCCCAGGCATCCACCAGATCAAGGTCGAGGTCAAGAAATCAGGATGATGGGAGGCCCTCTCCTTCCTGCGATCACTCCTATGAAGTTGAGGACAGGAGTTGGCAGGAGAAGAGCCTGTCTCTTGCACATCCCGGCCGTGCACTGGATGGACACATGTTGTCTGCTACCTTCCACCTTGGAGAAGGCCTACACAGTTGCCTTTCACTGTGCGCCGGCACCCTCGGGAAGGGGTCTGCAGTTTGGGACCCTTCCTGCCAACTGGGTCGCTGGCCCGACACTCCTGTGCTTGCTATACCGATGCACCACCACCCTGCACCCGTTGCCTTTTTGGGTCAGTTTGGGCCTCTGGTCGAGGGTGCTGCCGGCTTGATCCCTGGTCCCCCTTCCGAGGATGGTAGTCTTAGCAAGGTGCGCATTGAGGCGGTTGGTTGCTCTACGGCAGGTGAGGTCTCCCTGGAGCCCATCGAATGCAAAGTCCCAGAATGCCGGCCGGGACCTTCTGTCTTCAACAATCCACGGTTTCGCGACGCCCGCCTTAGGAGCCTCCTCGACACGCCGTTTGGGGAACGAATGCCGAGAGGTATCTTTGTGCCGGCCCAAGACCTTCTCAGGGAACCTGGCGATGAGATTGCCAATCCGGTTGAAAGGCTGGTTCAAGCTGTCTTTCTAGTGTTCAAGCCCGACTACGCTCCCGAACTGCTTCAGATTGATCTGTGGACGCCTGTTACGGTCCCCCAGGCCCTCGCGACACTTCAGGCGTCCCGTGCTGAGGCCCACCGGCGTCACATGCCTCATCTTGTGCCCATTCACCTGCAGCCTTCGCACGAATATGCATGTGTTCTTGCCATTCCAGAGTGGGCTGTCGACCGGGTGTGCATACTCTTCGATCTGTCCCGCCTTGATGGGCGCATTTTCGCGAAGTTTGTTGCGGCCCGGGTTGACCACGCATCCCTTCTTGTCCTTGCCGACCTTTTTGCGCAGACGGATGCCGTTGTCTATGTCCACGACTATCCCCTTCCACTGCAGCCAGGAGAGGTCGTCGATCTCCAGACCGGCTACTGTGTGACCATCACAGGACGACAGCAGCCACACTTTGCTGTCTTTGATCTGCACGACATGCTACAGAGCCCCGCCGGATGGAACGCGCGGGCAACAGTCCCAAGTGCCGAAGGTGACTGGTTTCATATTCTTGGTGATGAGGATTCGTGCCACTTCAGACTCTTTGCGGATAGGAGGCCCAACCTGCGTGAGGACCTCTCTGAGCGACTCGGGTATGAGGCCCACCTGCTCAGCGTCTTTCGGGCTGAGCCTCGTCTTGCAGACTTTTACGAAGATGGCATTCTCGCCAACCAGGTCGCAGTCGTGACACAGCAAAGGGTCAGACATGAACCCGGAACTCCCGGACGGTCAGTTGCCATCCTTGATCTGCGCCCGATACTCCTTGGCCTCACTTGGGAGTTTGCGCCTTTTGGCCGTCTCCCGGCCCAGCTTCTCTACGATCGCTACGAGGAGCTCTGTCCGCCTGGCTATAGAGTGTGCATCAGAGGCCGCCCGCAGCACGCGGATGAGGGATTGTCCTTCCTAGTTGCCAATGGGGAGACCCTTCTGGTTGAGTTTGTTGTGCAGGATTTTGTTCAGGGTCACTTCGCGGGTCCCGATGGGGGTCCTCCACCCCCCTCTTCTTCGGATGACTCAGATGACTCTGACTCTTACGAGTACACGAATCTACTTGCTAGCAGCTCTGCCAGTGATTCCGGGGACGGTGGCCGAACGGATGGCCCGGCGGGGCCTCCTCCCCCCGCACCAGTGAGGTACGACCGGCACAGGCTCAGACGCTATGAAATTGCGCCGAGAGGAGCCAAAGACAGCCCGGCCAAACTCGGCCTTGCGCTTCTACATGCCCTTCTTCACGGTGCTGCCGTTGGCTCCGCTGCCCTTCTTGTGCTTGCCTCTGTCGGCCTTCTTCTTTGGCCGGTCCGGGGTTTCTCTGTTACACCCCGAGGAAGGCTCTTCATTTTGATTGTGCTATCCTTTGGGCTGCAGGAGGTCCATGCCGTGCAACTGCGTGGCACTAGCTGCCTTGCCGTCGACAGTGATGCTCTGAGAGCTACCGGGGAGCCAGTACACGGTTTTAGGCCCCTCCCCACCCCATGTCGAGCCTTTCCAACCGTTTTGCCTGTCTTGGATGTACACTGCGCCTGCTCTGATACCTCTGCTGGGGGTTCCGAGGCCGTCGAGCCCCGGATTGATGTGTCCGCAGGACACATTACCCTACTGGAAGAGAGCGTGCGACAACCTGGATCTCGAGCTTTCTTTCTTGCCAGCACACTCCTTGAGGCAGTTGTTGAACATGAAACCGAGAGACGAACCGGGCACCCACCAGGTGCCAGACGGATCAGCCTCGCTGATTCCCTCCCCACAGCCGTTACCGTCGACCTCTCAGCGGTGTCGTTGCCGGTTCACCAGACGATTGACCAAGTTGTTCAGTGGACAAGGGAAGCAGTTTGGCCACTTTGCGGCGATCTCCCTTCCGAGCCCCCTTTGCCGGCATGTGTGCAGGACTTTCTTGCCAAGTGTGCTTTTGGGGATTCTCCGCGAACTGCCCCATGCTATGAGCAGATTACCATCTACACCGATGGGTCTTACGACGGAGCTGCCTCTTCCTGGTCGTTCTGTGCTTTTGGTAGCCAGGGAGACCGGACTACCTTCATTGGGTGGTCTGCCGGCCAGGTGCATACCGACGCTGCGGACCCTCTCTTTCTGCAGCCTTGCCGTCACAGCGCCCTCTGTGGCGAGCAACATGCTATCCTCTGGGCCGCTATTTGGCTCATGCAGTCCCCACGGCACTTTCGTTCCCATCTCGTGTCGGACTGCCTTGTTGCGCTGCAACAGGCCACGGGCACTTTTGGCTGGAGCGATGCTGACAGCTTTGCCCCGCTATGCCGTGCCGCCATGCAGGCTGCGTGTTCAGCCAGGCCTACCCTTGATTCTGAGATCTCCCATGTCCGTTCTCATCAGGGGCACCCCGCCAATGAGCTCGCGGATCACCTGGCTAAGAGCGCCAACAGGGGCCATGGGGTGACTCCCACTCCCCACCAGCTCTGGGCTGCTGAGTGGATTCGTCAAGGTGCCCTGGCCTGGCTTTGGGTTCAGATCGAAGCTGCGGCCTTTCCGGATATGTGGCCACAACATGTAGGGGCTTCCTTTGTTGATGGGCACAGGTTTGCTGACAGCTCGCCCCTATCTGAGATTGAGTGTAGGCAAGCCTTCGGCCTGCAGCCGGACCCCAACCCGAATGGTGTTGGAGCCAGTCTGAGGGTGACTCTCAATATCATCACCATCAATGTACAGTCTCTCGCTGACAGGACTGATGACAACGCTGGCGTTAAATGCACTGATGGCTTCACAGGTCGTGCACGCTATCTGCGCGAGCAGCTCCAAGGTGCAGGAGTCCAGGTCGCAGCACTTCAAGAAGCCAGATCAGAGTCTAATGCCTTATTCTGCTCGCAATCGCATGTTCGCTTCTGCACGGCCAGGGATGCTGGAGGCAACTTCGGATGTGAGCTCTGGTTCTCCCGC